AACCTACTTGCTTTTTATTCTCTTTTCTCTTTTGTTCTTTGATTTGAGCTTCCTAATCGAAATTTGCATTATCCGAATAACTCATCTAACGTGTTTGCTAAATAACATCATTGCCATATATTTTGTATGCTGAGAAGTGAACTAAAAAAGCATACTTGTATGATAAAACTTTCTGTAAATATAAAAAGGTCTGTTGCTGTTCTACCTGTTTTAAGTGCAGTTTTATTGACGAGTAAATCTGAGCGTCGACGTTCATTTTGACTTGCTGATTATAACTGTGCATAAACAGCTGGGGGTCATATTCCAACTGTCCAATTCAACAGTTTGAAAGTATAAGACATCGGACTGTACGATTGTGCTTGATGCAATCCCGTTTATCAGACTTTGGTTTGACCGTGATTTTTAAAATGCACGAAAATCGTTCGATATTCTCTTGAATGTCCTAAACTGATGAGCGATTCGAGTTGTTGACCTGCAGGTAGTCGATGCCATTTTCATCAGTACCTAGCGGGATCGTATGTGGATCACCACCCCATGTTCCAGGGCCTAGGTTGTTGATTTCCATCACCGGCCAGCAGATCTTCACGTATATAGATAGGGTCGACCCCGCCTAATGTTCGTCACATGTGTGCACTAACAGAAGCGGTTACTGAGAAATAACTTATGGTTAATAACAGATTGTGAGTGTGCTGTTTTCAAAAGAAAGGCGGACATACTTCAAACCCTCATGGCCTACGGTCATCAATTTGTGCGAATGGCTCAGTCAATTTAGAGTATCAAGTTTGGATTAGCCCATTCAATTGTTCAGAGGCACCATTTCCATCGCATTTGAATGCATTACCTCGTGGGGAATTAACGATATCTCAAGGAGTGAAACCGCCACCCAAGACCATAAAAAGTGCCTGGTGCCTCTGAACAATCGAATGGGCTAATCCAAGCTTGATACTCTAAAGACGAAAATATTTGCGGTAACCCCAATCCTCCTTGGATGTGAAACCTTGACCCATTGCTAAGAAAATACCTCAGTCATACAGTGAATTAGACCGAAAAAGTAGATCTGCTATTTGGATTTCTAAACCACGCGGGATCCCTTTAGTAAATTGTGGAACTTCATCGAACTTAAACAACCTTCTACCTGTGTCGAGGTCTGAGCTCAACAGTGGCAGCGTTGGAACCCTTGACAATTGCTGTTAATTTAGTCTCACTAGACGACCATCGTCATCTTTTGTTTCCTGTGTTTTATGCACAACAGAAAAACCTTCATCTCATACTGGAACAATTTGTTTTGTTTCTCTGCTCCGTTAGGATCGAGATCACGAGACCAAACAATTATCAAAATGTATCAATGGCACAGATGAATCGTTGGACTTGGAGCCACAGTTGGATTCGTCTAACGCGAAATCCAATGTCGCGGATACTTCAAAGGATCAGCGATTGGAGGCTCTGAATTTAAGTGGTGTCTCCACCAGTCCCAACTCCGACACAGCGAACTTTCTTTTGCACGCAAACACCAATCCTACCGGAATGGTTCCGGCTTCGCCAAGAAATATCAATGATGGCGAGTTTAAATCAGATGGTCAACATTCACAACGCAGCAGTCAAGATGAAGACAGCTGGAAGCCCGATAGTCGCATGGTTCAGAGTGAATATAACGGGCTGCAATCAGGTAAGCTCTCGCCTTTATCATCGTGTTGTTCGGGTTTCATCGAACTGAAAAAGAGAAGCGGTTGGGCATTTAACTGTCGCTTAATCTTATGTATTGAGTAAATCCCTGTGATTATTAATGCTCTTTACACCAGCAAGAGTTCGTCCAAACTAGTTAACGCTCAACAATTACCCCCGATTTCTATGTTACTATCCTTGTTTCGCTATTGTCCGTGACAAATACCGTGTAAGGCTCTTGTACAATTCTAGGATTCATGTTTCGGTATTTCGACCGGTTCTGATTTCTCGGAATTCTTAGCTTTGGTGTTCTAAATGAAACCAGTGTCTGTCGAGTTTTGATCATCGCTGTTCCCTTGAAACGACCATATGGAAGTTGATCATTGGCATTACTAACGTGCAGAACCTTGGTTCAATATTCGAATGGTTGGTGTATAATGGGATAGCATATGACCTATGAATATATATTTTATTCTTAGGGAGTACACAACTGGAACCTTTGGCTAGCCAAAGCCGGATCTGAAAGGTATCCAGGCGGTGTGTGAAAACCACATTTCATTGGGGGCCGGTGTTCAGTTCATCCGATCATGCGCCTGTTGTATGGGTTTAAACGTCCAAGGTGCCGAATACATCTCGATGCCAAATCGAGCCGATGACCACCGCTACAACCAGGAAGGTGTGGTTCGTTTGTTGGTTTGGAATCAGGATTTTTAGCTAACTCCCCTAAGTGAACTGCTAGTGGTTAATCGAGCCGACCATAGCCCCGGATTTCGGCGTTTTGTCCTCTCACTTTGGTGAGAATATACGTCCGCCGCGAGAAGGCAGTAAATAGGGCTTCCTCAGTAGAAGCTATTTAAGACGCTTGTTTGTATGAGAGCATTTTACGAGGTGCAAGGGCAGGGTGACCGGTCGCAACCCGCTACATCCACCCCCGACCATGAGCCTACAAATGTAACTAGTGTTCCGGGGTTCAGAAAGATCTGCAAGCCTATAAGTTACTGTCGTGGAGCTCTTTCTGACCCCCCGAGTTAAGACTGTGTGACTTGGCTTTTCCTTCTGTTGACTCGTCATTTATAACCGGATAGGCAATGTCGGGGTAAAATGAACAGTATCGGGTCGTTTCAGCTGCACGCTGATGCAAGTGCTCCACATTCGTAACTTGAAGTGACTGATGCTTACATTAGGCATGCTATTGGATAAGTTTCCTCGATGGTAGTCAAACTGTTACCTAATAAACGAGTTTGAGAACCTTAAACAGAAAACTTGATCAAGTAGGTTGCGTTAGGTTTCTCGCTTACATACTGGGTGTATTAAGCAGCGGCTCTCATGTATCTACTCAGTTTGTACACGCATTTGGTTTATATGCATCCTGTACCTTTTTGATCTTGGTTCTTACCTGTCATATTTATTCCTTCTCTAGTTGGTCAAAGAAATATCCAAAACATAGCAACCCAAATCACGAAGAGACTGCACATTGACGTGGTGTGATAGCCTGTACATCTCTGTCATGCAAGGAACGACAAAGTATGGGTTTTATCAAAACAAAAATGTTATCGTGCCAGGAAAGATTAGGGGGGGTAGAGGCTAGACTAAGATCAGCCTCCTGGTCTTCCGGATTGCTGTGTGTGTGTGTGTGTGTGTGTGTGTGTGTGTGTGTGTG